AAAACATCTTTTCCTCTGAGAAAAGCCTCCAGAGCAGTGTTTTGCTCTTCTTTCAGTGAAGAAATACTCTGTAATTCCGATAAAACTTGCTCGATAGCCACGCTAACGCTAGTTTCATCGGCTGAAGCCGCCATGTTCTTTAGACTGAACTGTCGCGTTTCTCGTTGCGTCACACCTCAACCCGCCTCAAAGCCAACGCTGATTGGACGTTCGTTTGGTGAACGGCTCCAAATTTTCTTTAACGGAGAGTCTCCAGACTGATCTGCGAGTGAAACCTTGAAAGCTCGCGAGATCAGGATGGTCTCACGAGGCTACGAAGCCTAATGGTTGAGAATTATCCTGTGAATGTGTAATATTAACACAAATAAAAATAAAAACATCAATAGGCTATTAGAGAGTAATGCAAACAGTCACTTTCACACCTGCTACCTGTCCTAACATTTTTTAACTTTGCGCAGAAATCTTCTGAGATCAACCCACTTATTGGACCCACCAAAATTAATAATTAAAAACTGTATTTTCAATTTAAAGCCTCTTATTTACATTTTTTAAGATCAGGCCCAGAGTGTTTTTGCATATAGGAAGTTGAGCTTCCTACATGTAGAGGGATAATTGCTTTGGATGGTTTGTTAAGATTATGTTTCTCTTTTGGATTGAAGTCAGTATTTTGAAAAATCCTCCATATATCCTAATCTAACTTAAATAATGTGTGACATTACTATCTATATTGTTGTACATATAGGTTAAAAGAACCTGGCCTGTCACGTCTGCTTATCAAATCTTTTGAGACTCAGACATTTTATTATAATTGCAGGTCTGAAAGATTCACAAATCAATCATATTTAATGATCCTGTCGCCTCACTGATAGTAAAAGGAAAATTACAAGAGAATTCAAAGAATGCTTCTCTGTCTGGATTGGATCAAAGCGCCATAAAGTCTTCCTATAGACTCAGTTTATGCACATCTGATACTGGAGATTTGAAAAGTTTTATTTGAGAAAGGAAATGCAATTTAACTACACATGTATGTGCAGGAATAAGAAGATACTACAGCATGTTGGGTTAGATACAGAAAGCAGTTTTCGACCAATATCACTACAATAGCTACAACTTGTGAAGTCACTGATTAAGGAAATAGTAGAAATGAGCAGGATGAAGTGCTGTTTAGGGACATAGTATTTCTGTGTGTTTTTATCTGATAAATTCTGTATTTTTCAGGCGTTGGACTCTTTTATTTTATTTTTTTTTCTGGAAATTTAAGAACAGAAATCCTAATACAGTTATTAAGATTGCGTATCTACAGATTAGAAAAAAAAGACCCCCCCCCGGTCCATTAAAGGTGTTGTTTCCACCACACAAAAAAGATTATAATAATAACTATGTGCAAAGTGTTCCTCTGTGTCATCTTATGTATCTTGTGCTGATATCTGTCAGGAATTCAGTTTGTGTGGTCTGTTTTGTGTCTGTCTCTCCCTCCACCACCAGGTGGCGCCCTGTTATTGTTGGTCCTCCCGGCACACCTGCAGCTCTTTGGATCATTATCTGGAGGAGTACTTAAGCAGTGGACTGTCACTACCTCGACGCCAGAGTGTTTGCTAGTTTTGGGTAATCTAGCCATGCTTAGATTAGCTAAGTCTAACCTGAGTTTTTGTTTCACTGAGCCTAGCTTAGTTTTTGTTTCACTAAGCCTAGCTGAGTTTTTTTTTTTTTCTCTGAGCCTGACCTTGTTTTTGTCTTTGTCTTTGGCAGGAAGTCCTCCTGTGTACTGGATGTTTGGCCTTCTTCCCCTGGAAGGATTGTTTACTGAGGTTACACTGAGCAGGGGAGAAACCTACACATCTGCCGTTCAAGTCCCTCACGGAAATCCAAGTGACAATCCCCTCCATTGCTCCTCTGGGTCCTAAGTATGTCTACCGTTCAACAAGTCCCCTCTTTTCAGGATCAACCGACACATTCTGGATTCAGAGTGAGAGAAGAACCCCCCCCAAATGTGAGTTCCTCACAAGCATCAACCTTACGGCATTCAAGATTCCTATGGTCTTATCAACTCCTCTGAACCATCCAAGCTGTTTCAGCATCACAGATTTTTACAGAGGAAGAAATAACTACATATGAATTATAACGTATTTATCCAGTAACTTATGCAATTATTTTTAATTAGAAAAAAAAAACAACAACTGTGAAAAGCGTCTACCAAATATGAAACAAATGTTAATCATGTATTTTTTACACTGGATATACATTAAATCTCTGGGATACACCTGTAATCCATCTGTGTAACCTATGTTCTCAAGTGTAATTCACATGCTGATAAAATTTCCAAATATTTAACGATGTAATAATATGTGATCCACATGTGAATCTCAGGTGTATCCCTTTTGAAACCAACTTTTTCACACATCGTTTGCAAAGTTTCACATGCCGTGTACATGTGGATCACATTATATTATGTGTAAAAATATGTGATCTACGTGTTTTTCTAATGTGCACCCCAAGTTTTCACACGTGCTGCACATGCAGATCACATATTTCTACATGTGTAATAATTAGAAATAGATCCTCCCTCTTCAAGTTGGAAATCCAACGAAAAAAAAACGTTCTTGAAGCATCAGCAATCAGAAAGGTGAAATAACTAATTTCTTTTCACTTTTACCCGATGTATTCCAACATCCAGCTGCCATGCACGTGGGCATTGTCAGTTTCACTATAGCTCTGGTGAATTTCAATGGTGAAGTCCTCTGGAAATCTTCAATAATTGTTGTTGATTGCAGATGTGTCTAGTAGTTCCCATTGATTTTGCTTGTATAAAGCGGGGAGAATGGCGCTAGGCTTACCGCACCGTGACGTCACTGCTGGAAGATGGCAGGAAGGGCGTAGGTTTGATTTCAACTTTGGTAGGGACACTGTTGGTCTTCAGTTTCATTGGTCTGATGTCATCGGTCCTTTGCAAAAATATGCATGATCTTTTTTATGCTAAATGTGAGCATCAGGGCACATTTTGTTTAAAGAGAAAATCAGCATTTCTTCCTTTATCAATACAAATCTTACAAGCACTACACGCACTAGATGCTGTTTATCAAAGTTTAAAGCATCACTGGCTCTGACAAATGTGGAATTGCTTACTTACCAGTGCCTATTTAACCAAATATAGTCTAAATATTCCTGCTATATGTGGATTTATCCTGTGATTTATTTTGAAGATATAGAATTGTGCAGAGGTAAACAGAGGTAAAACCCACTCTTATTTATTTATTTTTATTTATTTAATATGCTCTCTCTGTATCAGTAAATTATAAACATGTTGTTCACATCCAATTATTGCTGGGACAAATGAGTCGGTCCAAAATTTTGGTAGGGACATGTCCCTATGGTCCCTATGCAAACCTACGCCCATGGATGACAGGAGTGAGGTGTTACTATATTTGGGCAAAAATGGCCGCTCCCAAACTCAGTGATCGCAATGAATTTTTTTTTTTTTCTGATTAATGCTAAATTCATCAACTCAACAAGAACGGATTATTTTTAGGTTTAATGATCCATTGATTATTCCTTGCTGACCGGACTTGTCCTTTAATGAATGTTTTCTTTAGACATTATTTCATAAAAGCTTTAATGTTTAACATAAATCGAATGCCAGCCTGGAGGATTATAGCCTCGTGAGACCATCCTGATCTCGCGAGCTTTCAAGGTTTCACTCGCTAATCAGTCTGGAGACTCTCCGTTAAAGAAAATTTGGAGCCGTTCACCAAACGAACGTCCAATCAGCGTTGGCTTTGAGGCGGGTTGAGGTGTGACGCAACGAGAAGCGCGACAGTTCAGTCTAAAGATGGCGGCTTCAGCTGATGAAACTAGCGTTAGCGTGGCTATCGAGCAAGTTTTATCGGAATTACAGAGTATTTGTTCACTGAAAGAAGAGCAAAACACTGCTCTGGAGGCTTTTCTCAGAGGAAAAGATGTTGTTGCTCTTCTTCCGACTGGTTTCGGCAAGAGTTTGATCTATCAATTGGCTCGTCTTCGTCGTTGCTCTGTTAGTACGTCATATGCTTCGTTGATCCGGTTTATTTGGCCCGTCTATCACCAACATAGGCCAATCAGCTAACCAGTATTTTCGCCCCTTCCCAAAATTACTTCAACGGAAGGTTTCCAGATGGATATGCGGAGCAAATCCATCTGGCCGAGTCAGGTTAGGAGGATTATCCAAAACAATGTGAGATGATGACAGTCTGTGGCCTAAACGTATACTGGGCCTATTAGATTTATGATGGAGTGATGGTTGTGCAGATTTTTCATGGAAGAAAAGGCTGACCTTAATATGTGTGATGCGAAATGATTAAATCTGGATTAAACACTATTTGAATTTAGCAAATCTAATAATGTATTTATTGTCTATTATCTGTTGATTGTGTGGATTTATTTCAATTAAACAACCAGCCATTCTCTAAAAGAGTTATAATAACGTGTCAATTCTTTAGTTATTAGGCTGTCGTTACAATGAAGGGGTATATTGTAATACTGAAGATAAAAAAACAAAACAATCTGATCATAACGCCATAGACATGCAAAGAAAAATAAAAAAGTTTACGTTTACAATTTAGACAAATGAGTCTGGTTTATATAGACAAATTTCTAATTATGTTCAAAGACCTTAGACAGATGTTGTTCTTCTGTCTGTGAGGAAGATGAATCAGAGTCATGCCACCTACATCTATGAGCTGCTGTTTTTCCCCTCAGCTTGTCCGAGCATGTGCTTAAATTAACTTCAATCACACACAATCTGCATGAGTGTGTGAAAGGAGAGAGAAGCAAAAACAGGAGGGCATGCTTACGTCTGGGTTTTAAGTGTCTAAACGTTGTTTTTTTTCATTGCATTTCGCACATGTATGTGTGCGTCTGCCATCACTCCACCAACCACAGGAAGAGTGGGAGAAGAAAAGAGAGGTGGACCGAGGAGCGGTTAACCTCATGACATCACAAACTCTCCTGTGATTGGCCGCTGCTGCGAGGTTCGAGGGTTTAAAACCCAACCAGGAGCCTCAGGTTCAGCAGCAGCATCACCGGACAGCGAACAGGACGGGAAAAAAGGCCAGGAGATCAAGTAGAGACTTCCAGTTCTGCTGACATTCTGCAGCTTCTGTTGACTGCAACTAAGGTCAGAATGAATGCATGCAAAATAACCGTTATTTTTATGATTATTGTCTCCTGTGAAAGCCTTTCTGCTAAAAGGATTGGATTTCCTTTTTTCAGTCTATTTTGGTGCGACCACATTAGAAGCACACATAAAACCAGCTAATTTAAAAGAAAGTTTTTATAAATATTACAAATTTTAAAGCAGTTTCTTAGAAAGAAGTAGCTCTATTTGTAACATGCTATTCAAAGTGTATTATTTTATATCATATCCTTTTTTATTTCAGTCTAAATTTGACTGCCATGCTGTAGAAATGGAATAATTTGACAAATTTACTTTTATTTGTTGTTGTGCCAGAACAGCAGCTAGTTTTAGAAGCGCTAATCACAGAGAACCAGAGGTGGATAATCCAGGATCAGACAGTTGGAAAAAAAAAAAATAAATAAAAAAAATTTCGTCCAGCTCATAGCATAGAAAGGGGAAAATGTCTAGAACTCCAGTCCTCAAGCATTGGTGTCCTACAACTTTTAAAGGTTTCAACGCTGCAACACACTGGCCTAACCTGAGCTCATCCTTAGAGAACTCTAGAGCTTGACTGTATGACGGTGAGGTAATTTAGACATTTAGTTTAGGTGGAGATTTGAGTTTGAGATCACTATTTTAAAACCATCTAGTTAAAGGAACAAGAATAGGAAGGTTTATACTCTCTGAAAACAGATTAGCTCGCCTCTCCAGAGAAACTCCAACCAATGATGGAAAGTCCATTACAACCAATGTTGTGAATGTTCCTTAAAATGTAAAATAATGTGTTATTTCAGTGTCAACCAATTCTCTTTTCATTTAGATTAAATCAACAATTAAAAAAAAAAATGTATAGGTACGGGGTTGTAAGAGCTGGATTCAGATTTATGCAATGTTCCACATTACTTTTTCTTGAGATTACATTTCAGAGATATTTTATTTCTGCAATACAGGATCTGGTTCTGGACATTTTTATTGTAACTGCTTATTTTATGAGCAGGTATAGCAAGCTATCAAACATCAAGTCATTAAAAGACTGTTTGCAGAAATACATTTTACTTTGGAAGAAATATCTTCAAATTGTTCAGAGATTTTTTTTAACTCTGTTTATTCTTTAAACCAACTGTTTGCTTTTTAATGCATCAACAGTTTTCATTTTGTAGATTTTAGAAACAAAATACAAAACGGTTTAAGAAATAGGTCTAAAAATGTGAGACTTTTTACTTCATTTTTAATTTGTGCTTTAATATAAACATATTTAGGAGCCAGAAAATAATTGTAGTGTGACTATTAGCTACTAAAATAGCAACGTTTTCTTTCCTTTGAGATTAAATTACAGTTCAACTTTAAGTTTAAAAAAGTGTTTGCTAGTTTCAAAAGTAGAATCGTTTTACCTCATAGCTCTCACTATGTTACAAATAACTTAAAAACTAAATAAGAAAAATATCTAATGTTGATTTTTGTCATCAAAGTAACTAACATCCGATCCGAAGCATCAGATACCGGCCCAGCAGATTCTACAACAGCTTCTTCCCCAATGCTATTAGAATTCTGAATGTTGAATAAAAAAAAAAAAGAAAAAAACTGAATGTTGGAAAAACTGTAAATCATACCTTAGTCTTTTGTTTATATTTAATCACCATATTAACATCTTTTTACCACTGCACTTTAAGAAGTGGAAATGTCCTGAGAGCTTTGTCTATATGCTAATCTATGCTTTAACATCTGGATAAGGAAACCAACTTAATGGGCATTTTATTTATTTTCCATCAAATCACATTACAACAATAAAGACTTTGTTTATAAAAGATTAAATTTGGACCATTAGTGTCCCAGCTTTGCCGTTTTACCTCTTGATAAAACTCTTTTCTAAGCGCACAATTCCTGCTTCATTTTAAATCGATTGATCTCCAAATGTCCTTATGCTTTGGGTCATACACAAAGGCCAAAGATAGACATTTAAAAATACTAATGCATACAGTCCAACGGGCGTCTGTCAGGGTTCGGCAGCCCTGTGGCTTTCCAGTTTTAACCCAGTAAATACACAGCACATGAGGAGTCCATCATTAAAACACAGAAACAGGCACTCAGACCGATCCTCCCACACGGGAACTGGCTCTGCAGCCTGGAAGTCAAACTTTTATCTAGTGTCCAGCAGAAACACTCATAACAGTTTTTTGTGGTGATATTAAACTAATACTGTTGACTAAAACATTGATGAGCTCTTTGTTCTTCATCCTAAAGCCGAGTGTTAGAATATTGTTGAGATCAAATTGGGAGTTTAAGGGAAAGTGCAACACAACCTTGCCATGCTCTTTATGTTTTTACCCCTTTAATCTGCTTTACAACAGGACTATTTTCAGACATTCCTCTACCATACCTATTATTTTCTCACATCTTTTGGACCTGATTCAGCCAAAAACCTCCTGTTTCATGGTTTGCGAAACCACGCTCCAGTGCGATGGGATTTTCTGGCCCTGATGACAGAGAAAATGCTCAAGTATTTAACTCTGGGACTCATAACTGCTCCTTTGGGTCTCTAATTAAGGCTTCATGACATCCTGTGACATACCAAGACTAGTTAACGGTCATGTGACCATGAAGCCTCCATTTTTAGGAAGGAATCTGGGTGAGAGACGAGGAAGCTGATGTTAAGTTTGACATGTCATTGTGTTTCCTGGCAAGTTATGGCCGTCAGACGTGTACTTTAGTATCACCATTATGTTTTATAGTTTTATTTTGCTGTACAGTGGTGTTTGGTTGTGACTTTAACCTCCGTGTTTCTGGTTGTGTCCCCAGTTCTCCACTAAACTGTGACACAATGAAAGTGGCCGTTGTTTTTGTTCTGCTCTTCGCCACTGTTCTCTGCCGGCCGGTGAGTTTCACGTTACAAGTTTATGACTAAAAATGACCAAAGTGGCCAATAAAGTGCTTTTGTCATTAGATTCGTTTGATGCCGGATTTAAGTCTGATGTTTATTTTTTCCTCCTAGGCGAGAAAAGTAGCTCAGAGTGATTCAGACAGCTCTGAGGAAGTGGTAAGGACCCAGAGATATTTACTAACGAGTTTGTGGTTTAGACAGAAAATTAAGACCTGTTCCCAACTGCTATGTTTGTTTTATCCAAAGGTGAGAAGACCGGCCATCAGACGACATCAGCTGGTCGTTTCCAAGTCACGACAGGAAGTAATAAAGGTAAAATCGTTGATTTTTACATTTTTGGCTTTACTGTCATATCTTCCAGCTAAGCCTGGGCTAATACTGTAAATTTTTATTTCACAATATCAATAAAAGCGCCAGAGCACATGAGTTTTAAAGGTTAGATAAAGATAAACCTGTAATGCAAAGGTTATCTGTACTGTCAGGAACAGAAATGCAGCGATAACTTTTCATCGTTGTCTGTAAGAAAAAGCTCCCTGTGGTTTCTGGACTTCTGCTGCATCTTATTTAGCCTTCGATTCTCTTTACCATCTTCATATAAATGTTTAATTTATGCACAAAACAGTTCAATGTTTAATTAAACTAATAATCCGAACACTGAATACAGTAATTTACAACCCAGCTGGCCTTTTGACATAGAGTCAATGCAGAATCAACTCCAGGTAGTTAGTGTTTCATAAACCAGTGATTCCCAACCTTTTTTAACCCTTTGAGCATTTAGTGCATATTGACTGATTGAACACCTGATCTGCCAATGATGTGTCATGTGACCCAAAGTGCTGCTTTATTGCAGTCTGAGCCATGCTTTAACACCACAGCTAATCCTAAAAGGTTGTTGTCTGGCAAAAAAACTGATTTTTTTTTTGGTAGAATGTTTAATTATATGATGAGGAGTGTCGCCAGTTGCTTTCAGAGGTGCTAAATCTGGAAATTGCAGGTCTACTGCTAGCCTCGTGAGACCATCCTGATCTCGCAAGCTTTCAAGATTTCATTCGCTAATCAGTCTAGAGACTCTCCGTTAAAGAAAGTTTGGAGCCGTTCACCAAACGAACGTCCAATCAGCGTTGGCTATTGAGGCGGGTTGAGGTGTGACGCAACGAGAAGCGCGACAGTTCAGTCTAAAGAACATGGCGCCTTCAGCCGATGAAACTAGCGTTAGCGTGGCTATCGAGCAAGTTTTATCGGAATTACAGAGTATTTCTTCACTGAAAGAAGAGCAAAACACTGCTCTGGAGGCTTTTCTCAGAGGAAAAGATGTTTTTGCTCTTCTCCCGACTGGTTTCGGCAAGAGTAGCCTGGCTTGTGGTTGTGTTTTCGTCGTCGCTCTGTTAGTACGTCATATGCTTCGTTGATCTGATTGGTTTATTTGGCCCGTCTATCACCAGCATAGGCCAATCAGCTAACCAGTATTTTCGCCCCTTCCCAAAATGACTTCAACAGAAGGTTTCCAGATGGATATGCGGAGCAAATCCATCTGGCGGAGTCAGGTTAGTCTACTGCCCCTAGTGGCTAAAATTTACAGTGTTATCTTAGCTTCATAAATGATAACTATGAATAATAGCTATAATTGTCTTTTGTGGATGGATAAATTGAATCAATAACACTTCCTGCTCTCTTTGTGCAGAACATTTTAGCAGCAGCTAAGGCCGAATCAGACGAGAGTGAAGATACCTCAGATGAAGCTGAGGTGAGAAACTGCTGATCAGCAGCAGAATTAGACTTAATTCTTAGATAAGATGTTTCAGTTTGACGTGTTTTCTGTTCGTACAGGAGCCACCGGCCAACGAGGCCCCAGTAGAGGTCAAGGCTGCTGTTGCACTTCCAACTGCAGATACTGGATCAGTCAACAGCGAGGACAGTGAAGACAGCGATGACGATGATGATGAAAATGAAGAGGAGGAGAGTGTGAGTACGATGTTATAAGATTGTTGCTTAAAAGGCTGATTCTGCTGCTTAAATTATATTTCCTATATTTGTTATGTGACATTTAAGGACTGGTATCTTTACTGCTGTAGTCGTCAAAGTGATCCTTGGTTGGGAAATATAACGAAAAGGTGCAAGAAATGTGGTCAAAATAACTCAATCTCAGATGTCTAGCAGGTTTTTATTACAGAGTTAGATTTTATTGAGAAATACTGCACTTTTGCTTTATTACCGATTTATTTAAATAAATAGTTTGATGTTACTTATTAACCTATAATGCATTTTTATGTCTCCTTAACAACTTGTAACACTTGGGGCTTGACTGACTGCAAAATGAGCTCAGAAGTAGATTCGGCTACAGAGTCAAGGGGTGTGAATAAGCACAACAAAGAAAATTATGATTAATAGTTGTATATTTATTTTCTAATAGAAAGAGTAATGGTTACATATACATGTTAATGAGCTATATTATATGATTTATATGGATATGAATGAATAGAATATACACACACAAATTAGATGATCAATATAATTTCAAAGGGGAAAAAAACAAACAAAAAAAAAACAAATATATTCCAATAGGATAATTCAAAAGGGGAAAAAAAAGAAAAAAAAAAAAGAAAGTCATATTCAGTTTTAGGCAATTAGTGTTAGGAAACATTGAAGAAGAAAACAGGCCAGCCAAGTCAAGCAAACTTGCAAAAATAAACATTTCATTTCACAAGAATTTAATTCAGGAAGGTCTAAAATGTCAAGTAGTTGATTCGAGAGTTAAGGAACATATAAACTAATTGTTAATAAAGTGGAGTCTCATCAATAATAATGTAATAAGTAATGTTATGTTGTAGTAACCTCTAATGCAGAGGTACTATAGAAGGGGTGTAAAAACTAAGCCTTGAGGAACTCCTAATCTATTTTTCTGTTTGGTTACATTTCTAATTATACAGAAAGAATTCTTTGTCTACCAGATAAGACATGAGCCAATCTAGTACAGTTCCAGGCAACCCTTATGAAAGTGTAGAGTGGCTGAAAACCTGACTAAAAAGCACTGAGGACACACAAAAAAAGAAAAAAAAAGGTCAACCTCCTCTGTTCTGACCTTCAGGACTCTAGACATTGCCTCTTTAGAAAAGGATTTAGGGGAAGTGGAACCTGCAATATGAACGTTGCACCTTGATTCTCTAAACTGAGATCTCCATAACCCTGCCTGGTACTGAACACAAGCAAGTATTTAAAAATAGAAAAACTCTGTATTGATTTGAACTTTTTTGATCTGACATTGTTGAAATATACATCTGCATTTACCCATCCTCTTGGGGAGAAGTTAGCTGCCATCAATGGGCGCTCGGGGAGCAATCAGGGGTGAAGGATCTTGCTAAGACACCCAGAGTGGCAGTCTGTGGGAGTGGGTTCCAAACTCACAACCTCAGGATTCTAAGCTCTATGCCTTAACCATTAGGCCGCCACTACCCTCCAATGCCAAACTTGTCAGGGTTTGGTTGAGGTTTGGAGTACCCAAATGCAGAGACAGAGAGGCTGAGGAGATTTCTTGGAGTTAAATGGGGCAAAAACAGTTAACAAAGGCAGGAATGCAAAAATCCAACTAATAATCAAAAGCAAACCAGAACTATGGAGACATCTGGGAAAACCAAACACGAGGAGCCAGGGAGAGACAAGGTAGGTGGACAACAGCATGGGAGGACAGCAATGACAAGGAACCAACAAAGAGTGAGAGCAGAGGGAGAGCATATATAGCTGACAGAGACAAAGGGAGGGCTAACGAGCTGACAAGGAGCAGGTGTGAGAGGAGACAACGAGGGAGCCAAGGGGAAAGTAACACACACACACAAGAGGGCAACGGAGGACAACAGAAAAAAATGAGAACTAACATAAATCTAGAAATTACAACAAAAAAGGAATTAAACCAATAAGACTAGGAAACAGAGCAAAGTAAAGCACAATAGAAACAAGACCATGACAAAACTTGTCTTTTCTGGTTCTTTGTCTTCATATATGCAATAACAGGAAACAGACGAGGAGGAATCTGACTCCGACTCACAGTCGGGTGAGTCATCCACCCCGGTGCCCGTCACCGTCACCCCCATACCTGGCACCATCGAGCCGGAAACCACTCCAGAATACATCGTCCCGACCATCGTCACCGATCCCGATGCTGGCCGCGGTGACAGTTTGGGATACCCTGATGACTACAAGTCCATCTACTATGTGGAAGAGAAGTCCTACCACAAGGCTCCCAACCCCTACAAATCTTATGAGATTGTTGGAAAGAAGGTGGCCTACGACATGACTGGTGGCAACGAGGTGGAGAAATCCCCCAAAGTTTACAAGGGACAGGTTAGTCTTGTTTGAAGAGAACGGGAGACATTTTCAGTTTAGGGTGCATTCAAAAAATAATTTAAAAAATGTTCTCTTCCGTCTAAAGATCACTTTCCCAAAACCTAGGGGATCAAGGGGATTATTATGAGGGTTTTATTTGTGTGTGTTTAAAACATAAAGCTTCATCAGTTTTGAATTATTGGTATGGTCTGAATTTTGTTTCATTATTTTTGCAAGCAAATAACAAGTTTTGTAATCAGAAACTTAAAAAAGAAAATGCAATCTAGGAATGAAACTTTGAAAAATGTCTTAATCAAAAAAGGTTATGAGTGTACCTTCTCAGTTTTCTATGATTTTATTGTATTTTTTCAAAATGGTTTTAAAAGGAATAAAAAAAGGAGGATTCTATTTTTAAGAATTATTTATTCATATTTCATTTTTTCAGATTGAGTTTTATGCATTGCATTTTTTTAAAACTTCCATTTTCCAGATCAGATATTCTCTGCCTTTTAGGGCGGGGTTTCCTCTAGAGCCATGAGCTAAGACGCATTTCTATTGGTCCGTTGGACGTCAGCAACAACATTTGCATTGGTTAATAAGTGCATTAAGAGTTTCTGTTGGCCTTGAAGTAAAGGGAATAGGATCTGTTAAATGCAAATTTAAAAGAATGGGATTTGAAAAACTAAATCTGAAAAATCAATAAAAACTTAAAAAATTTTCACATTTTTCTGAATTGCATTTTACTTTAATTGTATTTACAACATGTTCTTTGTATGTTACAATATTGGATCAAAATTCATGCCATATTACTGAGATATATTAGGTTATTTTTCAGCATATCAATGCTCTATTCAGGCTGCTCTTCTAAAGCAAGTGACCTCGTCAACTTAGAATCTGATCCGTTACTGAGCGAGTCACATGACCCAGAGCTCCACTTTACTGACGTCCCGTTTCCCCTAAACACGAGAATTAACTTAGACAAATTTATTTTGTCATTTTGTATACACGAGTGTAAACAAAAAATAAATTTAATTTAGAACAGCTCTAGACAATTTAATTTTTTTAAATTGCAGCCTTGAAAACAGTAATAAATACATTAAAAAAATATGACTGTATATTTACAGTCATATGTTTTTAACAAAGCTAAAAGTTGCTGCTACTCAGTAAAACTTACATTTGGCTGATTCTGATTATGCAGTGCTTTAGATCACTGTTTTACAATCCTGGGTTCTTTGTTGGCTAAGACGATAGTGTCTCCCCCCCCCCCCCCCCCCCCCCCCCCCCGAGCTGTATACTTCCAAACTCTCCTGATTTAAGAGTAAGACTAATGATTTTTAACATTATCTCCAATCGATAAAGTCTTCTGCTAAATTCCTGATTTTTCAGTAAAGGAAAAAACCGCCAATTAATCCTTTAAATGGTGGCAGTCAGTGGTAAACACCTGTAAATTAATTTATTATAATTGGATAGCCCCTTGAGAAGAAACATCTTGTTTTTGTTGTGGTAGAACCATGAGCGGTTCTAGGCAGGGGCCAACGGGGGCCAGTGCCCCTGTAGATCATATCCTGGCCCCTGTTGTGGCCCCTGTACTAAAGACATAATACGAGGAGAAATTCTAATGATGGTGTGCGCTGGAGCAGACATGGTTTCTGATAAGTCCTTTGGATCTATTAAGTTTTTTTTCTTTAAAAAATTCTGTTTTACTAATTATTCAAAAAACATAAGTTGATAGCTTCAGTGATATTGAGATAGGATCCCCGTTTTCATCTGTTGTTTTTTTTTTAAACAAATTTTGAAAAAGACTATGTTTTACAGCTGAATTTATCAGTTTTCCTTGAGTTCTAATTCTGATTTTGTAGAAAACTATAATTTTAACTTAAATTAAGTTAAAAATACATAAAATTCCAAAATTCTTAATGTATATTGACCTAATATTCCAAATATTAGCTTTATGTGATCTTTTTTTATATATATTTATGTAACTGCAGTTTCTTGAGTTGTTTTTTTGCTATGCTAAGGTTTTTTTATTTTAACGATAATCAAATGAATATTTTTGAGCCAAACATAAATATTTTCAGTTAGAAGACATATAATTTTAATTAAACCTAATTGTGAAGAAATTTCACTTCATTTAGCTCTTTTAATATATTTGACTAGCTTGCCTGTTTTTTTTTTTTTTTTTTTTTTTTTTTTTTTTTGCTTCATGCTTTTCTGTGCCCCCATGAAAACACTGGCCCCCTGGAAAATTTGGTCTAGAACCGCCACTGGGTAGAACAGATAAAATATAATTGCAGTGTAACTGCCTCATTATGTAGGCTTCTGGTTTTCATTTCAAAGATAACACTGCTTTTTTTATTGTCCTTAAAACTTATTTCTTTAATGTAAAAAACATAAATAAATAAATGCAGAATAGAATTCCTTTCTTCAGGTTAACAAATACAAGGCAAGAAATGACAAATAACTACCCCATGGGCCAGTTCACGTATAACAAAAACTACCTTTTGTTTACAGCCAAATATTTGCAGTTATGAGCTTGCACTCTTCCCAAAAAACAACTCCAGTTCTTCATAATTCTATCTATCTATATTTTTATCTTAAATGTTTACAAAAAATTTAAATGCAAAAATTGAAGATTTTATATAAATTGGATAGATATAATTAAAATAGTAAAATAACCAAAAACCTGAAATTGTGATGGGTGCAAAATCAGAAGCAACATAAAGCTGCACAATCAAGAGCAAAACTAAAAGGTAAGAAAACTGTGAAAGGCAAAATACAAAAAAATTAATAAAAACTTGAAAGATAAGTACCCTGAGAATACTAAAAATACTGTTACTAAAAATATATTAAATGTATGTATCAAGCATATATCTTTTTTTTATTCTGCAATTCTGCACCCTGTCCAGCAGATGGCGCCCCAGATAGTTGCTGGCAAACCCCTCTTTGCCTTACAAAAAACGCTTTAGACATTTTTCTGTGGTTTTGAGTCCATTTGTCACCTCCAGTAACTTTGTGAGGTTAGCCACTACTGGGAGGATTCACCACTTTCCAATGTGTGCATAAAGGCTCACATTTGAGTTTTCTGGAGTCTCACAGGCTTATAAGTAGTTTTATGTCTGATAGATGATATGTTTTGTCTTTACAGATATCTAAGACTGACTTTTAATACCAGGCAGATTTTATATTGCCAAGCAGGCTGATCCCTTTCACTGGTGTAGCAAGCATTTTTTATAACTTTATACTTTGTGTGACTCTCAGGCTTTTCAGATCCACTCTGACCTCATTGAAGAGGACACCAGCACCCCAGAGGTGGAGACCCAAGGCCTGGATGCCTCCTCCGGAATCTCTCAGGACCAGAACGTCAGTCCCCGGCAGGCCGCTCTCCCCGAAGAGGAGGAGAACGCCAGCAGCGGTTCCTCCACCACCAACGAGAGCGAAAGCAGCAGCACTCCAGAGGAGGAGGAGGAAGAGGAAGGAGCTAGCTCCCCAAGCGACAGTGCCAGCGCAGAGTCTGAGGATGAAGAGAGCCAGAGCAGCGAGGAGGCCACCGCCACGCCTGGAGCTGCTGACACTGATTCAGATGAAGACGACAGCGTGGAGAGCGACTCGGATGAAGAAGGGGCGGGACCCGACAACACCACTGATGCGCCGGTAGTTGTCACCGCCAAATAAGGCATTGGGAAAGGCTGGTGGATGGTGGTGTAATCGTCACATAAAGAGCTGCATCCTGGAGTAAAGACCTCTCCCTCTCCTCTCATGAGGCCACTAAAACTGCAGAGTCAAACAGGGAAAACCACAGCGTCATTATTATTTCTATCTTTAATGTTCTCCAACATTATTTATCCAATTATTTCTGACAATCTGTACATAAACCAACCTTACTGCTGTGTGTTTTTTTAGAACAAAGCAATACCTCCTGCATTCTGTGGTGTGTCGAGAAACGTCATGCTTGGTCCCTGAGGGGAGAACAGAGGATGTTCAAAATGGCGACTGCTACCTGCTACAGGTTTCACCAACCTCATGGTGTTAACCCCTGCAGTAACCCCATTACTGCAGGGCTAAAAGTCAAAACTGCAACACAACAGACAAGGTTAAATCCTCTTGTCTACACCAGCACACAGTGCAATTAACATTTGATAACTGCTATTTGCTAACTATTGTTTTCAGAGCTTTGGTAATAAAGGATAATGAATCTTTTCGTTGGAGTATTATTTTCTGTGTAATAGAAAAGAAAACTTGATTTTAAAGCCGCACATTTGCAGCCAGTGTGGCTGAAGCTTCTTTGCTCGCCGTTATACATGTTTTCTGGTGTGGATGAAAGGATGCAGACAGATTCATTTGCATTGCAGTATAGACGTTAGTTGGGTAAAAATTCAGTATTCATATGTATACCTTCAAACACAGTCTTGTTTATTTGCACAGTGCCTACCTTCACTACATGGTGATGTTTTCAGCAATGTTTACTGTAATGTATCATATTGTACCATTTCTAAGATATTAATAAAAAATGTTTTCATATAAAAGTTAAGGTTTGTTTATTACTCTCTTTCTGTTTACATTTTTTGTTTTCATTTGTATGAGAGAGTATGATGTAACAGTAAATAGAAAAGAACAATAAAACCATTTGATCCTAATAGTTTATGCCCCGATAGTGTTTACAATTCTCTCAGTTTGAGCCTGAATAGAATTTCAGCACCAGATCCCACAAAGTGACCTCAACGTTGCAGGATTACTTCCAGCCTACCCAGTTTAACCAACTCACAACAACGGCAATCAGGATCAGCGGTACAAACAAGCTGGTTGTCGACTCACTAACTCGACCCAGCTTGAACAGAACATGAATCTGTGAACGTGCACATATAAGGGGCGGTTGGGGTATGGGGTGGTTTTGAGTGGTTCTGGGGAGCAAACCAATCAAAATGGTAAATGGCATGTACTTATATAGCGCCTTTTTTCAAGTCAGGACATTTGACCAAAGCGCTTTACACCACATTCATTCACCCATTCACACGCACACACACTCACACACTGATGGTGGCAAGCTACATTGTAGCCACAGCTGCCCTGGGGCTCACTGACAGAAGCGGGGCTGCCGTACACTGAGGCCACCGGGCCCTCTGACCACCATCAGTAGACAATGCAGGTGAAGTGTCTTGCCCAAGGACACAACGACAATGAAAGTCAGAGCCGGGGTTTGAACCGTCAACCCTTCGATTTCAGGGCAAACGTCTAACGGCACTGCCGCCTTAAAAATCATGAGCACATCTTACAGAAATACAAAGAAGTCTCTAAAAAGTCTCAGTGAAGAGTAAAACATGGTGACAGCATGAAAGAGATGCCAAATAGCACCCCAAAGGATTGCTGACTGCGTAAATGTGTAAGTTAAACATCAGTGTATGCTATGACTGTGTCAGCCTACATTAACAAATGCACTGAGGATGTCAGCATCAAAAAGAACATCACCACCCGGGCCAACCAACCACCTTGGATAAATGGAGAGGTTCGGAAATCGCTTAAAGCACAGAACTCAGCTTTCAAGTCTGGTGATAAAGAGGCACTAAGAACAGCGCATGCCAACTTAAACCGTGCCATTAGATCAGCGAAGCAGAACCACAACCAGAAAATCCAAGATGTTTTCCTGAACGACAGCAACACCAGGAGGATGTGGGAAGGCATTTGGATGATCACAGACTACAACACACCATCCCCCTCGGTAGATGCAGCAAACACTGACTTCCTAATAGACATAGACACTGACATTTTTTCGGGAATCCCACGGGTCACGGGATTCCCGTGGGATGGTAGTCAGTATTAGTAACAATCACGTGATTAGGACGGTACAGGATTAAACATTAACGGGAGCACAAGGGAGCGGGAGCAAACCAATAGTAACTAAAAAAAAACGAGGATCGATGCCAAAAAATACAATAAAATAGAAAGAAAAAAAATCCAGTATTGGCGCCGCCATTTTCTAGTTTTTTTCCTTGAAGCCTACACAGGGCTGCTCTATAATACAAGTCAAAAAAACTACACGACCCAAAAATCAACAGTGCTTCTGCTCTGAGTTTTTCACCCACGCTCAAAAACAACAATGGAGGGACCAACAGTTACTACAGTTCAATTCAATTCAATTCAATTCAGTTTATTTATATAGCGCCAAATTCACAACACATGTCATCTCAAGGCACTTTACAGTTCAACCAGATCAAATTGATACAAAGTTTTCTATCTAAGGAAAACCAGTTGATTGCATTGACTCATTGACTCAAATACAATCCCCCACACTAAGCATGCTTGTAGCGACAGTGGAGAGGAAAAACTCCCTTTTAACAGGAAGAAACCTCCAGCAGAACCAGGCTCAGTGTGAGCGGCCATCTGCCGAGGCCGACTGGGGTTCAAGGAGACAGAAGCAGAGGTACAAAAAGCAGCTGTAAAAGGCGGCCCCGTCCAGGAAACACACAGCCAGGCAGACGAGCTCCAAGGCAGCTCCCATGCCAGAGGACGAAGAAAGCACATCCACTCAGTCACGGTCAGAGAAACAGGACCACACTGGAAAACAGGCCGATCTCCAACATCTATAAACAAGGGTGTTGATAGAAGCAGCACAGCTGATGTTTCTTTCCAGGATGACGTCACAGCCAAACAGGAACAGACGAGGCAAAGCTACTCTGAGGAAAAGCAGAGAGAGCAGAAGGTTAGAGATTGAACTAACAGATTCTGCAGAATAGGAGAACAGAGAGAGAATGAAGCAGAATGATGAAATGGGGGTCCCTATGTCCTCCAAAAGTCTAAGCCTATAGCAGCATAACTATAGAGATAGCTCAGGATAACCTGAGCCACTCTAACTATAAGCTTTATCAAAAAGGAAAGTTTTAAGCCTAGCCTTAAAAGTAGACAGGGTGTCTGCCTCACGGACTAAAACTGGTAGTTGGTTCCACAGGAGAGGAGCCTGATAACTAAAAGATCTGCCTCCCATTCTACTTTTAGAAATTCTAGGAACCACTAGTAAACCTGCAGATTGAGAGCGAAGTGCTCTGTTAGGAACATAAGGAACAATCAGATCTCTGATATAAGATGGAGCTTGGCCATTTAAGGCTTTATATGTGAGAAGGAGGATTTTAAATTCTATTCTTGATTTAACAGGAAGCCAATGAAGAGAAGCCAGGATAGGCGAGATATGATCTCTCTTTTTAATTTTCATTAGAACTCTGGCTGCAGCATTTTGGATCAGCTGAAGGCTTTTAACTACAGTTTGTGGACTTCCTGATAGTAAAGAATTACAATAGTCCAGCCTTGAAGTAACAAATGCATGGACTAGTTTCTCAGCATCACCCCTGGACAGGATATTTCTAATTTTTGCAATGTTCCTCAGATGAAAGAAGGAAATTCTAGAAACCTCCTTGATATGGGACCTAAATGACAGGTCCTGATCAAAAACAACACCAAGATTTTTTACTTTATTATCTGAAATCAGTTTAATCCCATCCAAATGAAGTGACTGGCTAATCAGTTTCTTTTTCAGAGACTCTGGTCCAAAGACTATAACTTCTGTTTTGTCTGCATTCAGAAGCAGAAAGTTAAGAGTCATCCAGGTTTTTATGTCTTCAAGACATGCCTGTAATCTATGTAATGGGTTAGCTTCATCTGGATTTATAGACAGATATAGCTGGGTATCATCAGCATAACAGTGGAAATTAATCCCATGCTGTCTAATAATTCTACCAATTGGGAGCATGTATAAAGTAAAGAGAATTGGTCCTAGCACTGATCCCTGTGGTACTCCACAGGTAACCTTTGAGCGTGTTGAAGATCTATCATTAACATGAACAAACTGAATTCGATCAGATAGATAAGATTTAAACCAGTCTAGTGCTGTTCCTTTAATTCCAACAAAATATTCAAGTCTTTCTAAAAGAATATTATGGTCAACTGTATCAAATGCAGCACTAAGATCCAACAGGACGAGCACAGATACAAGTCCATTATCTGAGGCCATGAGAATATCATTAGTGACTTTCACCAGAGCTGTTTCAGTGCTATGATGAGCTCTAAAGCCAGACTGAAACTCTTCAAAAAGTTCATTATGGTGGAAGTGATCGCAAACTTGTTTGGCAACTACTTTCTCAAGAATTTTGGATAAGAAAGGAAGATTGGATATAGGTCTATAATTGACCAAGTCATCTGGGTCAAGAGACGGTTTCTTAAGCAGAGGTTTAATTACAGCAACCTTAAAAGCTTTAGGTACATATCCCTGTAACAGAGATAGATTAATCACATCTAAAATGGAGGAGGAGATCAAAGGGAATACCTCCTTAAATAACCTGGTTGGAACTGGATCTAACATACAAGTTGAAGGCTTAGATGAAGACAATAATTTTGCTAATTCAGAGAGTTCAACTGGATCAAAGCAGTCTAAACCCAGTTCAGATTCCATGACTACCTCAGGTACAATCGCGGATAGAGGAGTGCTTATGATCTTATTTTTAATAAGATCAATCTTATTTATAAAGAATCCCATAAAGTCATTGCTGCTAAGAGCAGGTGGAATGGACGGTTCAACAGAGCTATGGCTCTGGGTGAGTTTGGCAACTGTATTAAAAAGAAATCTAGGATTATTCTTATTCTCCTCTATTAATGAGGAGAAGTATGCTGCTCTTGCTTTACAAAGGGTCCTCTTAGTCCAGTTAGAAACAGGAACTTAACTGACCCTTCATAGAAATTCAGATTCAATGTATTGGCAGAAATCTTATTGAAGACAACAAGAATGGGACTGGTGCAGGAGCGGGAGTCATTCTGAATGGGAGCGGGATGGGAGTGGGAGTAATTTCACCAGGAGTGGGACGGGACAGGATTTAGATTTCTACTCTGGCCCGGGATCGGGACTGGACACAATTTTTTTCTGTGGGAGTGGGTGAAAATCCACTCCCGTGTCAGTCTCTACTTCCTAAATGAACTGAACAATTTCTTTGGAAGGTTTAAGGTTCTAAACAGCCTCGAGCAATGAAAGCTGTTCCACACCAGGGGGGAGGAGGCACTAAACCTGGACGTAGCTGAAGTGAGGAAAACTCTGAGGAGAGTCAATCCAAGGAAGGCCCCAGGGCCTGATAACATACCTGGGCAGGTGTATAAGGAGTGTGCAGATCAGCTGGCTGGTGTCCTCACAGACATTTATAACACCTCATCCATAGTGCCAGCATG